CCCCACCCCCGCTCACCTCTGCTCTACCTCATCCCTGAACACACCGCCCCCGCTCTAATTCTCCTCCCCTCCCAGGCTTGTGGCGCCAAACAGCTGATTGGCGCCGCAAGCCTGGGAGGCGGGAGAAGTGGAGCAGCAACGGCGTGCTCAGGGAGTGGGCATAGCAGAGGTGAGCTGGGGTAGGGAGCCCTGCGTCAGCTTCCCCCACCCTGAGGCACCCCCGCAGCAGCTCCCCACCCCCCCGGCCCGGGGAGTCGTGCAGTAGCTCCCCACCCCCGCTCACCTCTGCTCTACCTCATCCCTGAACACACCGCCCCCGCTCTAATTCTCCTCCCCTCCCAGGCTTGTGGCACCAAACAGCTGATTGGCGCCGCAAATCTGGGAGGCGGGAGAAGTGGAGCGGCGACCTCGTGCTTGGGGAGGGGACGTAGGAACGCTGTAAAAAAAATTGGGGGCACCGCTTTTTGGCGCCCCCAAATCTTAGTGCCCTAGGCAACCGCCTCGTTTGCCTAAATGTAGCACCGGCCCTGGTTGAACTCCAACAAAACACACTTTCAGCCTTAACGCTTTTTTAACAAATGTTTTGTTTGTGAATGGATATATAGAGGGGGTTGAGCAGAAATTGAAAATAAAAACACAGTCCTTCAAATCATATGCATTAAATATGACTTGATTTCATTTATCACAATGATTTACAACAACATATAATGTTGCTCTGTTTGTTTAAAATGCATTTTATAAAATAAAATTATGAAATGTTACTCATGTAGAATTATATTTTTCAATTAGTTATGCAGATGTTCGAGTGGAAAGGAGACAAGAACTGGCCTTGGAAGCTGCACCCTCAGAAGTTGTTTCTTCAGCACTAAAGGTATAACCAGATATGTTTTTCATAAACATGCAGTAATTGTGACCCATTGTGTTAACATTTCCAAAGATCTAGTAGCAATGCTGATCTAGACATATTACCTGAATTTTATACTCCAGAATTCATTGAGCTCTTGAACAATTATTTAAGTGAACTGGAGATGAGCATCAAAGGACAAACTTAGAGATCAGAGAGAGTGGTGAAACACAAAGCCTGGGCATTGGCATTGTAAGCTTTACCATGCGTCCTTGCCAACATGCTACAATTTGACCTAGAGGGACCATTTCTGAAAGTGAGATTCCTTTTAGAAGGATCATCTTGAGATTGTTTTTCATGCACAAGAATACTGCATCCTGCATATGAATGCAGAGTGTACAAAAGTTATTTATAAGCAGGACCCTGTCACGATAATACCTGAGTCTTTCGTGTAATATATCGCAAAAAGCATCTGAAGTCTTCCTAGATCAACACATGGCGATACCAAGATAAGCCAATTTTAGGAGGAAAAATTCACTCCTGTGTTGACTTGTCTGCCAAATTCCTGCCTAGAGTGGATCAAAGAGTCACATTTATTACAACCTGAAAAACAGGCTTTAAATGAAATTGCCAACTCATCCTTAACCACACACTGACATGCATATGTCTGAACCTGTCCAAAACGTACTATCTGAAGAACAAAGGGTCCAATTTAGTGCATTGCTGAGTGGTTCTGGGTGTTGTCACTCACCACTGAAGGAAGAAAGAGATTCTGCAACTCAAAGGACTGGACTAAAATGGAATAGGGCAATAGCCTGCAAGGTCTTTCCACAACAGTAAAAGCTCATTCATATGCAATTGGAAGGTATAGCAGAAGTAGATGTCATAGACATTCTGGCCCAGGTCCTCTGCTGCTGTAGATTGCAATAGCTTCATGGAAGTCAGTTTATACCAGCTGAAGATCTGACCCTACAAGTACTGTTAGATACATGACAGAACACCATACCCTGTCAGATGTAATATGATGGGTTTTTTTTTTAATTTTAGGACAGTGGCTTAGGCTTGAATGCCGAACTGCACTTTAATGCGCTTGAAATAGGCGTCTCAGTTCTCAACACTAGTCGGACACCCTCTGTATCATCTAGAAGCTCACGCAAATCTTCCAACACTCCTATGTCTGACCCTGCATGTAAGTAATGTTATTATGGAGCTCCTGTATCAATACTTTATTTTAAAATTAGCTAAATTACCCCAATTATCATTCCTCGTGGTATAGTAGTTACTGGTGAGATGCTGAAGGTGCTGACGACATGTCCATTAATTCCATCGCCCATGGACGGGTATGTATTTAATTGAAGGTGGTAAAATGGGCTGATGTAATCATCCATGTCTTTGGAATAAAGGAGGCTAGTTATGAAGCCTGTTGCTGTTGAGTTCTATGGAGATGAAATTTACAGTTGCTAGGCACAGTTCCAAGCTATAATATTATACTGTGTTGGAAGTTAGTAAGGTCATCAGCTGGAAAGTTCTGAAACTCAAGGCTAAATTCAGAAGTCATGCATAAGGTTTTAATAAAGCCCAATGGTTCTCAACCTATTTACTATTGTGGGCACATGCGGCCTACAATGTGTTATGTGGGTCGCATCCAATACTACCTGTATAGCCCTTAGGATGTCACATGGGCCGCAGCTCTGTGCTGATTGGACCACAAGCAGCCCATGGGCCACAGTTTCAGAACCACTGGTACAACCAAATGCACGGTGATACACGTAGGAACAAAGAATGCAGGTCACACTGATAGGGTGGGGGACTGCATTCTCGAAGCCATGATTCTGAAAGGATTTAAGGGTCATGATCGCTATCCAACTGAATACAAACTCCCAGTGAAATGCTGTGCCTGACAGCGTTAATACAATTTTTGGAAGTACAAATGGAATTCTGAGTAGGAGTAGGGAGGTGGTATTACCTCTGCATAAGGCATTGGTAAGACCATATCCCCACTACTGTGTCCAGGTGTGGTGTTTGCACTTCGAAAAAGAATGTTGAAGAGGTTCAGAAAAGAGCTACAAGAACGATTGAAGGTCTGGAAAACATCCCTTACAGTGAAAGACTTTAAAAGCTCAGTCTGTTTAGCTTGTCAAGGAGAAACTAAGAAGTGAATTGATCATGGGGTGTGAGTACCTATAGGGGAGAACAATTCTGATAGAGGGCTCTTTAATCTAGCAGGACAAAGGTATAATGAGCTCTAATGACAGGAAGTTAGAGCTAAATAAATATAGACTAGAAATAGAGTACAGATTTTTGTTAAGGTAATCAACCATTGAAACAACTGACTGATGCATGTGGTGTATTCACCATCACTTGAAGTCTTTAAATCTAGATTGGCTATCTTTCTAAAAGAAATGCTCTAGCTCCAACAGAAGTTATGGGCTTGATGCAGGAATTATTAGATGAAATTCAATCACCTGTGTTATGCAGGAGGTCAAACTAGAGGATCATAATGTTCCATCCTGACCTTAAAATCTATGAAGTGGTGTAAGTTAGACTCCCATACATGCACTCAGACCCAGGGCCGGCTCCAGCTTTTTTGCCGCCCCAAGCAGCGGAAAGAAAAAAAAAAGGAAAACCCAATTGAGCTCCCGCCGAAGTGCCACCGAAGAGGAGGAAGAGACGGCTTGAAGGACCCATCACCAAATTGCCGCCGAAGATCTGGACGTGCCGCCCCAACAACTGACGGACTACCACCCCTTTCTATTGGCCGCCCCAGGCACCTGCCTCCTTCGCTGGTGCCTGGAGCCGGCCCTGCTCAGACCCCATATCTGCACACACTTATGTATCCCATAAACTCCTGAGGCAGAACCCAAGGGGTGGCACAAAGGTGCCTTTAAATGCTAGGTTTGTGTTCTCCAGATTTGAAGGCATCATTTAGAGCAGGGGTTCCCAAACTGTGGGCCATGGACCAAAGACAGGCCACGACACAGTCCCGGGTGCCCCCTAAACTGTATATATTGGTGGACTGGAGGCCAGCCATGGCCCCCACCCAGGGCTGGAGGAGCCCAGCATCTTCGGTGGGTGGCAGAGGGCAAAACAGAGCCACTGGGTGATGGGCAGAGGGTGAGGAGAAGGGCTGGCCCTGAGAGGCAGCAGCTCCCAGGGCAGCTGGAGGAGGCTGGATGGTTCGTGACCATTCCTGCTCCAAGCCACTGCACCCCATGATCCATGGCTGTCAGGCCCCCTGGGGTATTGGCCCCGTGCCTACCCCCATCCCCACAAGACCAGGGCTCGGCAGTGTTGCTCTGTTTCCACCTGGACAATGCTGTGATCTGGATTGTCAGGTGATAGCCAGGCCTGGCCCGAGTGCCTGCCTTTGCCTGGCACTGGTGGCCCCCGAGCCCTTCCCTCATTCCCAGGCAGGGAGTGTCTGTGAGAGCACCTGCCCTGCCCCTTCACTCTCTCGCTGGCTCTGGCCCCTGCTGAGGTGAGGGGCCGTGCACGTCCTGCGGTGCCCCTCTCCCTGACAGATGCATGTTAACAGTGAGCCGCAGTGCCTATTGCAGCTGCACAGGTGGGCCTCAGAGGAAAAAAGTTGGATAACTCCTGAGTTGAGCAGCATCAGGCCACTCTGAATTAGGTCAGCAGTAACAGCCCATGGGTGACGTTCTGATGGCCCAGGATCACTGGAGCTGAAGGCCCTTTAGCCGTGCCCCTGACACACCTGGTAAACAACCTCCTGTCATGTGGGCTGGAACAGAGTGCCATAGAACCAGCTATGCGAATTCTACTCCAGCCAGAGATTCACCTATGAAAGAGGAACCCTCACCTGCCCTTTTGGGACACCTTTTTGGACCCTTTGCTGCACTGGATGGAGCACAGGCTGAGTCTGGTCCAGTATATACCTTAACATTTGTGTGGATCCTCATTATCAGCTGTCAACTGTCTTTGGAGTCATTGGTTCCCCTTGACTCCAGCTGGAGTTTGATCAGACCCTATATTCATGGGCAGTGGGTATAATAGGCCAGGGGAGGCTCTGCCTCCCCTGGTGCTGCTGTGGCCGCCAGAGCCCCAGTTGCGAGATTTTGGGGGGAAGTTTTTTGCTTATTATGCCCCATGCGGCTGAGGAAGCGGTATGTGATATCCAGCTTCTCAGGTTCATTAGTAATCTCCCTGGACTCCGGCCGAGGGGGTCGGGGTGCTTGGGCCTCCAGCCGGCCTGGGGCTCCTCCGGCCCATGGGCAGGGTGCTCGGGGCTCCAGCTGCGGGAGGGGGGAGGTGTGGGCAGAAGGGGCGGAGCTGGGGCTAGCCTCCCTGAATTGGGGCTCCACCTGCCGCCCATGCCTATATTATTACCAACCATATCTCATCATTCTAATTTTATATGGTGATTATTCTTAAATACGGACAAAAAATTCTCTTACAGCCACACCAACAAAACTGATCACAGAGTCTAACATTCCCTCCTTGCAAAGAACACCCAGCATACAGCAGGATTCATCCATGCAAAGACTCAGTCAACCTGTCACTATTCAGGTAGGTTTACAAATGGGCATCAAAATAAATGGAATTTACAAGGAGGAGTTAGATAAAAAGTCACATGTAAAATATGCCACAGGTTCAATTCAACAAATAAAGACAGAGCTATGCAAAGGCAGTCACATTAGGAGAAGACCTGAGATTTAAAGTAGCCATGCATATGAATAAAGTTTGTTTTATTTTTTTTAAACCTAGGCGTCTTTGCCTTCTCAGCCATCATGTGAGCTTCTCCCACAGCAGCTGCTGGCCCAAGCAGCTTTGCAAAATCAGCCTACATCTATGGCACAGGTTAGTTGGGGGCTTGAAACTGGAATAGGTTACTTAACCATCTCATGATGTTTTCCCACTTCACCAACCAAAGCAAGGAATATAGGGACCCTCCCAAGTAATTTTGTCCTAAAACTACACAGGCTATAAAACTTATAGTGGGAATGTCCTCTGGATTCTAAACACATACACACACACTTACTTAAATCTACCAATCTGTTGCTGAGAATCTTTTTAAAAAACAACAAAACATTAATCTCTCTTTTACAAAGACCCTTAATATTTGTTTTGCTCTGATGATGCAGAGAGAACCAGCATCAAAGAAAACACAAATTCAACAAGTCCCATTCCCTGAGTTATGCCATATCAGTGTTGATGCAGATGAGGGACTAACTCCTCCATTGGGATCCACCAGCATGGATCCCAGAAGTGGGTTTGGTTTTTGCTCTGAATATCCAACTGGTCTAATAACCATACAGGTTCCCTTGGTACTTGATTAGAAGGAATAAAGAATTTCAATACTGTGTTTTCTCATAACATTGTTTCTGTCCTTCCACAGTTTCCCAGCGATGGAGCCTCTCCTGGCTCTGTCACACACCTCTACTCCTTTTAAGAAGCATATGTTGTTCCCTTATAGCTTATGCCCAGGAGGCTCTGGAGGACCACTGATTTAAAATAACAAAATCCCATTTCTCCTTTAAGTTTAATTTGCCTCCATGACTCCACACCAGCGTATAGTGAATCAGTAAATAACAACCCAATTTATCATCTCTTAACATTAATTTTCTTTTGCAGATGTTCTTGTCTGCTAGTCTCAAATTTTGAAACAAATTTATTTAGTTTTAGTTTTATATAAATTCGAGTATATTTCCCTCTTGAATTTCTGTATTCACATTTCTTCTCTGCCTTCAGAAGTGAATCTAGAGAGGAGATGCCTCCTTATTTGTTTCCCACCAGCCCCAGCTGTCCCACCTCATCTCATTGGGATCCCAATTCCATTCCTTTCCACTCCAGTTCAGAGTATAATCTATTCTGTTCTGTTCAGGTTCGTATACCATGCCCATCACCATAATATCTGAGCACTCTCCAGTCATGCCTTAAGCAATTTGACAGACAAATATTTGTTCTCTCATTCTCTCCCCACAGGAGAAGCATGTGCAGCGGAGTGTCACATTTTGCATTTACTGCTCAAACCCTCCCCTCCTCCTACCTCCACTTTCTCCACATAAGATCTCACCAAGAGAAAACTGACAAAATACAATGTGACCATCTACCTCCCCTCAGCTTGCCTTGCCTTCCCTTCCTACAACTCTCACCTCTCTTTCCCCTGCCACAGATTGATAGGTCAGTTATTGGTTCAGTAACAGAATGCCTATGGACTGGCTGAAGTTTAAGTGGAAGCAAACCTGTCTCAACACTGTTATCTAGCAGTCATCTTTTGGACAGCTAGGCTCAGCCAATCATTACAGCAAAAGCCCAAGGGGCAGGACTTTTTCCACTCATTAATGCTTTCAGTGAGGGCTGCAAATAGACCATGGCTAAAGTCAGGGTGTTGTCACTTTCACCCTACATAAGAGATCTCTAGAAAAAGGTAGCAAGGAGGATTAAGTTACAGAGAACTAAGGCCACTTGATCTTGAATGAGGTTATCCACGTGGGGGTTAAGGCACTTTAACTAATGCACATTGATTTGCCTTAACTTTCCTTAGTGTCCCCACGTTATTGAAGACAATCCCTAAGAGTTAGTTATTTCTTGTCTTCCTGCATTCCTACAACATTTTACTCTATATCTGTTTCAGGAAGTCACACCTCTGCTAGAGGCAACAAAAACTTATGGTCTGGTTCTTCTTTACTCTAATTACCAAATTAAATTTCCATCCACTTTAAGATCTCTTTACACTGCCAGAACCATGGGCGGTGGGTGACCTGCTGGCTCAGAGAGGCTATCCCCCGGCCAGCCTTGCCCCCCCTTCCCTTACCAGAGCCCAGACCCCCCCTGCAGCCACCAGTCCCCCTCCTCCCAGCATGCCAGGCAGGTGGCATGCAGTATCCCCCTCCAACCTCTCCCCTCCCCTGAGCACAGGGCAGGCAGCCCACTCCCCCCGTGAGCGCCAGGGGGCTCCCCAGCGCTGGGCGGCCCCAGCCATCCCAAGTCCCGGCCACACCCGCCCTAGCCCCAGCCCGCTTCCCTGAAGAGGAGTAGCCGGCCTGCCTGGGCTGGGCTTGGGCCAAGGGGGAAGGGCAAGCAGGAGGGGACCTTCTGGTGGAGCGTGGGTGGGGCCATGCTGGGCTGTTTGGGGAGGTATAGCCCCCCCCCAGCCTACGATACGTTTCACCCATGGCCAGAACCTTAGTGTAAACTAGACTTGGGCTGCAAGAGCATAGGCGCCGACTGTGTGGGTGCTCTGGGGCTCAAGCACACATGGAAAAAAATAGGGGGTGCTCAGCACCCATGAGCCATAGTGGTTCCTGACCCCTGTCCCCCCAGAGTTTCATACGTGAGGTCTGCTCACAGCACAAGCCTTAGACCCAGACGGAGCTTGAAGCCTTGGCTACACTGGCGGTGTCCAGCGCTGCAACTTGCTGCGCTCAGGGGTGTGAAAAAACACCCCTGAGCGCAGCGAGTGCAGCGCTGTAAAGCGCCAGTGTAATCAGAGCCTGCAGCGCTGCAAGCTATTCCCTTCAGAGAGGTGGAGTACATACAGCGCTGCGAGAGCTCTCTCGCAGCGCTGGCGTCGCAACTACACTCGCGCTTCACAGCGCTGTGAAGTCCCGAGTGTAGCCAAGGCCTCAGTGTGGAATGTGATGAGTTCTGTGCTGCTCTCAGCTTCCACCCTGGGGGCAGGGAGTTTGTTTATAAACAGAGACAGGGTGATTAAGATAACAAAAGGCCTGTCATTACATTAAATTAAGGCTCATTAGATGATCCTGAAAGCATTGCCAGGCGCTCCAGTTAAAAGATAGGAAACAAAGGTTAGGAATAAATGGTCCATTTTCAGAATGAAGAGAGGTAAGCAGTGGTGTCCCCCATGGGACTGTACTGGGACCAGTGCTGTTCAACATATTCATAAATGATCTAGAAAAAGGGTTAAACAGTGAGATGGCAACATTTGCACAGAATAAAAAATTACTCAAGCTAGTTAAGTAGGGTTACCATATTTCAGCACTGAAAAAAGAGGACACTCCACGGGGGCCCTGGCCCTGCCCCGACTCCGCCTCTTCCCCACCCCCGGCCGCACCCCAGCCCCGCCCCTTCCCCAAAGTCCCTGCCCCAACTCTGCCCCCTGCATTCCCCCCTTCTCCCTCCCGCTCTGATCTTGGTTGGGGGTTGCTAAGTGCTTCCCTGCTCCCCACTCGCCCTGCAGCCTCTGCACCCCCCCACCACTGCAGCCTCTGAGACCCCTGCTCCCCACTTGCCCTGCAGCCCCTGCACCCCCTGCACGCCCCCGCCCCTGCAGCCTCTGCGCCCCCCCACCTGCCCTGCCCCTGCGCCCCCCTGCAGCCTCTGAGACCCTTGCTCCCCACTTGCCCTGCAGCCTCTGCCCCCCCTGCACGCCCCCGCCCCTGCAGCCTCTGCGCCCCCCCACCTGCCCTGCCCCTGCGCCCCCC